CTACTGTCAAAAGTCATAGATGGGTCCCACGACAATTATTTCTTAGTAAATAATAATGTACAACGTTTATTTTTTTATTACCCATTTGTAAAGGGAAGAGGGCATGTATAAATATGTAAGAATGAAGAGAGAAAGGGGGGAGTTCACTTCATTTTTTCTTCTTCCACACAATACAAGGAAAAGAGAGAGAGTAGGGGAGGTTGGATGGCTCTCTCCATTTTTCACCTTCTATCCAAAAACATAATAAAGAAATACCATTTTCCATCAATTTTGTTCTTCAATTTTATACAAGCAATTCGTATTACATTTGACGGTTGATCGTCCGATTTTCGACATCAACAATTTGGCGCTAGAAGGAGGGCTCCGTAATTTGCTCGGAGTCAATTTTCGCCGGAAAACGGCCGCATCTCCACCGGAAAACATATTCCCCAATCATCTAATACAAAAAGAGTGAAGACGGGTTAGCTGCTATTTTTGGTGCACTCATTCTTTTCAATTACTTTAAAACAAAACTTCCTTTTTCATCTATTTTTCTGCCCTATACTCCGCATGGACCATGCGTGCTCCATATGCACAAACATCTGGTTCTGTGTTCTTATTTTCAAAGACCTATCTATACCATGGAAATTAAAGTTTCCCCTCATTTTTCTCATAAACTGTACAAGTCCTCCTTTTGTCTCCAACTTTGCAAAAGNGTATAAATAGGTAAGAATGGAGAGAAAAAAGGAGGGTGACTTCATTTTTTCTTCTTCCACACAACACAACGAAGAGAGAGAGAGTAGGAGAGGTTGGATGGCTCTCTCCATTTTTCATCTTCTACCCAAAAACATAATAAAGAAATACCATTTTCCTTTAATTTTGTTCTTCATTTCTATACGAGCAATTCGTATTACATTTGACGGTTGATCGTCCGATTTTCGACATCAACACATGTTGTGAACCAAAAGCCTTTTTTTTTTATGAACTAAAGATATTTTATTACATAAGTAATCTCCTTTAGAAAGGAGAAATTTCTTTTAGTCACTCATAGTAGAGACGTAGATACAAACACAAATAAAATTTCTCGAAAAGAAACTTACAACCTTAACACTTAGCATATTACAAAAATTTTATTATAGAGAGAAAACTGAATAGAATGATCGATGCCTTATGCTTTCTCCAAGTATCCTTTTATAGAGGGCAGAAACCCTCTCTTATTGCTTCCACCAACGGTAGGTGGATGCTCAACTGTATTCACATGCTCTTGGATCCGGGTCCTTGAATTATTGTGTCATTTCTTTATTAAAGGTGACTTCTTTCTTCATATGGTGTGGTACATGTTGTCTCTTCGGTGCCTTTCTTTATGACTCGAACTTTCATCTGGTTCTTCCCAAAAGGAAATATTTCTCTTTTTATCTTGTCCCACCATTATCATGGTAGGTATCAAGTCTTTTTCCCTGTGAGAATTTATTTAAAATTACCTTCTTCTTCTTTGGGTTATCTCTTTGCTCTAGACGTTCTCTTTTGACCGAAAAAAGTATTCCAAACATTTGTTTCTTCTGGTTTGAACAATGTTAACGAATATGCTCGTATCATTTTAAACCATGTAACATATTACATACCTTATCGCGTGCTTTTTTTGTCGATGCTAACTTGTTTTCCCATAAGAATTTCCTTTTGCTCTCGAATAAATCGTTAGCAAACTTTGAAGTGGTTGCAGTTAATGAGTTGAGTAAAAATGATTCATTCCGAGAATTTTAAAATATTTTGAATGAATATTATACTTTATCCATTTCAGTAAGGCATATCCATACACCATACTCCATATGCCCTTCTCACTGCAATTTCATCATCTGTCATGGAGGTGTATAATGGAATTGCCTCGGATGCCTTGATCTGGTTTATGTTCTTTTTATTTAGCAATTACAACTTAATAAAATGAAAAGAATCATGTTTTCCATAATCACTTGCAGGCTCTGGTCTATGGAGATGAACTTGAGCTCCAGAGTTTCTCCTCTTTTTAAATATGGATTATAGGACCATGCATCATACACAACAATTGTAATCCATTTTGGCATTCCAGGTATCCAGTAAAGCCTGATGCCACCGTAAATATTGAGGTAATGGACCCAAAATCCGCCCACTTTCTCACTACGGTTGGATCAACCCCTTCCAGTGCCCATACCCATGGGTATAGTGTGTAAAAATATGTGGCCCGAAAGCATTGTGCTCACAATTAATTATCTTATTGGGCTAGACATTTATTTAATATTCAAACAAATCTAAGCCATTAATATGAATATTTGATGGACATACCACACATATGTAAATTAGCCATCTCTCCTCTAATTAGGGTACGCAGTTTTTCCATCAGTTTTCTGCTACATCAAGAGACGGTCAGGAGGGAGAAACTAATTTAGATCCAAGAGTTGATCGAGCCCCATGTGTTCATCAAGATTAAAATCACAAATTATGTCGTCTTCCGCATCAAGTAAGTATTTCGTATACATCAAATTATTTATTCAAGATCCTCAATTTATACTTATATGTTGTATCAAAACATGTGTTGTGAATGAATAATTTGTTGTAAATTATGATTCATTGGTACAAGTGGCCGAAAGGTTGTTTTGTTTTGTTTTGAAAATTAATGATGATGATAATGATTCTACTATTTGATTAATCGATTCGTATGATAAGTGATTGAAATTTCTTTTCGGTTGATTAATATTCTCCTCTGAATTGATGATTTCGAGTTATTTGGTATTATCAAACTGATAGTCTGTTATAGATCAATGACTCACAATATGTTTAATTATTAAATCCATTCTGCCACTCAAAACAAAATGTCACATTATTGTTGTAAAATTGATGTTTGTGTTAGTGGGTGCCATGGCCCACGCATTTTGTTTCATTGTTGAGCATTGTGCATCTTTTGTCAAAGCAACTCCTGCTCCAAGCAGTGTGTGCACCTCAACAACGAACACTGACAGACAAACACATGACGAACACACCAAAGGCAGGATATGTGATTAAAAAATAAATAAAAAAGAAAAACGTAGCTAATCCACCTTAGTAAAAATTTCTCTTCATCAATAAATAAAACTTTATGTTAACTTGAAGTAGTAAATAATTGAGCAACAAACAATAGTGAAATAAAATGAAACAACAAACAATAGACTACAAATGGTATACAAATTTCTGTTAAACTGAAGTAGCTAAGAATGTAGCCAACATCTAAAATGAAACAGGGCAATATACATGAGTCGTAAATTAAACTTGAAGAAGTTCATGGGCAGTACACCACAAAACACATACAAACATACTGGACTAAAAGAAACTAAGTTTGAAGAAGTGATTAAAGAGTTTACTTATGGGTGAAGGCTGAAAAACCTCTACCCTTCCATTCAAGATTGTCAAATGCCCAACACTGCAAACAAAATCAGAGGAATTTCGTACTGCTCGACACAAAAATAAAAAAATAAAAATACCCACAAGCATACCAAATAAAATTACAACAATTAATTCACGCAATGCTATAAATAATTCTATTGAGTCGAAGGGAAAATGCAAATTAATGGCAATAGTGCATTACCGTTCTTCTCAGTTAGAGTTATGAACTAGGTTGCCGAAAAATTCTTACTGCTCTACACTAAAATAAAAAAGATAACCCAGCAACATATCAAATGATATTATAACAATTAATTTACGTAGTGAAACAATGGTCTAAAAAATGGAGATTAATGGCAATGTGCATTACCATTCGCCTTGGTCGGAGCTTTGGACCGGTCGCCGAAAATGTCATACTGCTTGGACCGTCGATCAATATCAAACTTCCTTTTTGTCGAAACCGTGCTGATGAGCGTGGCGAAGGAGAAGCTGCGACATCAATCTTCAGAGGTCCATTGTTGTCTGCTCTCTCTCATTTTGGGGTTAGGGTTTGCAAAATTGAGGTCGATTATCCTTTTTAATATGGTCTTCTTGTAATTACCTAGTTATTTAAGGTTAAATATGTCCGAAAAATGTGAAGTTTGTGGCAAAAATGATATTGCACAGTCAAGGATTCATATAATCCACCAAATTAATTGAGATTCAATAATCAGATAAAAAAGGGATAAAATGTGAACCGAAGCCAATCAAGGAGGCCTCAATCAAGTGAACCATACGAATGATTAGGCTGAGATAAGCATAATCCTGCCAAGCAAACAAGTCTAAAATTTTTTTAAAGTATTACAAAATCTATATTAAGATTTTTAAAATCTTAAAATGTAATTTTAAAAATAAATCGATAAAGATGTTTTGAGGCATTCTCTCTCCTTACGCCGTTCTCCTACCTTAAAACCCCAGCAGCCCTCAAAACCCCAACATACACAGACGCACACATCACTGATTCGAAGCACGTTTCTTGAGACTTTTAATCAAACATTTAACCGGCGATTATCTTCCTTCCTCACAGGTGAGCCACAATTGTTAAAACTTAAAAGTCGATTTAACCCAGCTGTTCCTTAGCTGCAGCATTAAAATTTCATCACAAGACAATTCATTATACGTTTTGTAAACTTCACATCGATGTTCACGTAGTATCTGTATGCGCGAGTCATTTAGTGGATAAGGCCTTATTGTTTTCTTTTCTGATGGTTTACTGGTTTGCTACTTGAATTGGTTGGTCTCGGTTCTGTAACTCTTATTGAGCTTGTGCATCTTTTGTCAAAGTGAGTGTTGGGTGCTTTTCTGTGGTTTCTTTTTTTTTTTTCCTCCTTAATTTGGATTCTTGTTGTTCATTTTGTCAAGTATGAATCATAAATTATACAGTTGTGAGTTGTAGAAATTATGTTCTCTAACCTTTGTGCACTATATATATATATATATATATATTATATATATTTTGACTAGTTAATCTGGAAATGGAAAAGGTGTTGATTACATTTAGTTTGTTCTGCACTTTTTCGAATGGGAAACATAAAAAGATGAAACTTTGGATTGTGATTTGCATTTGCATCATATGCAAACTTTACAGTTGTTCTCTGGGACCGAGGAAAAGAGTTTATAACCTTGAAGAGTTCAAATATGCATATCTTGTTATTCTGTGTTTCAATTTGATCTTTTAGCTCCCCCATCAGTGTGACTTTGTGTTTCCTTGTATATATCAATTTTAGTTGTATTTCTTGATACAAGATATAATCATGGCTGGAAAGCCAAATAAGGGGAGGAACCGTAAAGTGTCCCAGCAGGGGGCTATGAATTCTTCAGAGCAGGCCATCTCTTCGGATGCTCCTTTGAGTGATAGTTTGAGAACTGCGCAGACCAATGGAGATGGAAGCTTACAAGCGTCAACTGACACAAATACTGAAGTGAAGGACCAGGAAAACTCATCTGACCAGCATCCAAGCAAACAAGGTCTTAATTGCATCCATTTGTAGTCAGGACACTGACATTAAGTTATTTTATTTTATATTCTACATTTTTCTGTTTCTATATGTTGTTATATGATTGAACATAGATTTTGTCAAAAATGGAAGTTTTAATACCGGTTCAGCCTTGTTTACCGTGCACAAGGGTGATTGAACTTTATATTAAAATTTTGCTATCACTTTGGAGTTTGTAAATTTTCCTTTTTATCTACACCTGGTTTTCCAAGTTATGTGCCTAATAAATGCATTTCATGGTGTTCTTTTGCAACTCTAATAACTGTTGTAATTGTCTTGTTTTTCCGCCTGTCTTTCTGACATTTGCAGTCAGAGATTTTATTTTGATGGTTATTTTGTATGTATTTGGGATTTTTTAGTTTGGTTCTTAAGTAGAGTAACACGGGTATCTCTTGCAACTCTAGTAACTGTACAGAATATGAACTTCTTTGCTTTTCTTTGTTCTTTCTATTTGTTCAGAAGATTATTGGTTTCTTTGGGTAGCTCAAAATTTTAGTAAATTTAAAATAGGTATGTTCCTGATCTTTTACGTCAAGGAATAATGGTATTTCCTCCTGTTCTGCTCTTAATTATCAATAGATATTTCATGTAATTATTTTTTCTTCGTAATTTGGTTCGGCACATCTGTTCAGTCTGTATCCTGTGCTTCGTTAGTCATCTTGTTGCAAATGTCTCCCAGAATTTATATGAATTCCGGGACATTTCTACACTAAGCAAAAAATTACTTGACGTTGCATTTTCTTTTCTCCTATCTAGTTGTTTCTTTTTGACTTAGGTTGGTTAAACTTTAAATCTAACTTCTGAAAATTAATGCATACAGACATGCATAGATCACAGTAGCATATTCATGCATTGACATGCTTTCTCATCCCTAATTAACTTTCAGATAACGACTTTAACACTTTCTTCTTGAGGCAGGCGATGCTCATCTTTATCCGGTTTCGGTGAAAACCCTAGGGGGAGAGAAGCTTGAGCTTCAAGTAAGTTGAGTCTTTAAGTTGATTATTAATTTTGATAACTTAAAGCATTTTATCAGCGCTTTCTTTCAGCCTCAGTAATTTTTAATCCTCCCTTTGAGTAGCTGACCTAGGTCTCCATGATTACGTCTTTGATTGTTTATGTGCAAAACGTGGAGGGTCTTTGGCAGATCTTATTATAAGTTCTTCAAAATATGGTATAAGATGTGACAAAACTTATAAGGATCTTATAAACCCCTTCTTCTTCTTCTTCTTCTCTTTAAATACCAAACACCCTAACCTTTTTAAAGGTAACAAACTATCAACTCTAAAATAATATGCATTTGCAGTTGAGTCCTTTTCTTCTTCTTCTTCTTCTTCTCTTTAAATACCAAACACCCTAACCTTTTTAAAGGTAACAAACTATCAACTCTAAAATAATATGCATTTGCAGTTGAGTCCTTTCTTCTTCTCTTTAAATACCAAACACCCTAACCTTTTTAAAGGTAACAAACTATCAACTCTAAAATAATATGCATTTGCAGTTGAGTCCTGGAGATTCTGTAATGGATGTGAGGCAGTTTCTTCTTGATGCACCGGAGACATGCTTTTTCACGTGCTACGATTTGTTATTACACTCAAAGGATGGTTCTATTCATCATCTAGAAGACTACAATGATATATCTGAAGTTGCTGATATCACCAGTGGTTCCTGCTCGCTGGAGATGGTTGCCGGTAGAACTTAAATATTTTGTATTTGGATTTATATTTTGCTTCTAACAATTGTATTCTACCATAAAACTCCTCTCATTTTCGAGATTGATAATTTGTAAATATCTTTTGGGGGGCATGGAGCAGAAGTGGCGGCACGTCATGTATCACTTAATTTATGTTATTTCCTCCAGTTATGCTGGAAAAATCTTTTTTATGCGAACAGAAAAAATATTGGAGTACATATGTTTCTATGTGGCATTAAAATGTTATTGTTGTCTAACTTAAATGAGGCTGTTTCATGCAGCATTGTATGATGATCGGTCAATTAGAGCTCATGTTCTTCGAACTAGAGAGTTGCTTTCTCCTTCAACGGTGCATTCTTCGCTGTCGACAATGCTTGCATTACAACATGAAACAGTGAAAAATGCTTCTGTAAATTCAGGAGGTTTGTTTTCATATCATCTTGCCTGGTGATTGCTCCCGTGTTTCCATTTTTATCCATAATTTCTTTTTAGTGTGGCTTTTTTATTTTTTATATCTTTTTTTTTTGTGCAGATGCAATGAAAGTTGAAGTGCCAGAACTCGATAAATTGGGATTTATGGGAAATGGCTCACTCACTAAATTATTGTCACCACCCTCTAAAGAGATTAAGTGTGTTGAAAGTATAGTGTTTTCTTCATTCAATCCTCCTCCAAGCCACAGAAGGTTGTTGTAAAGACTCTTCATGTTTATTATTGTGCAGAATTTTATGATTTGTTACTTCAGTTTCCTTCCCACTCTGTACTTGTCCTTTCCATTTTGTTCTTTTATATTGTTGGAAGAACCATGCTAACATACTGAACGTTATGTTTGATTGGTTCAGGCTTTATGGAGACTTAATATATTTGGATTTGGTTACGCTGGAGGGAAATAAACATTGTATTACAGGAACAACCAAAACATTCTACGTCAACTCAAGCACAGGAAACATTCTCGATCCAAGGCCAGTTAAAAACAATATAGAAGCAACATCCCTTGTTGGACTTCTGCAAAAGATTAGCCCTAAGTTCAAGAAAGGTAACACAAATTGTCTATGGATTTTTAGGACATTTTTTACCAGATTAATATTTTGAGTGGGATTATTAAACGATCTTAATTGTTAGCGTATTTCTCACCTTTTCTTAGCTTTTCGTGAGATGTTGGAGCGCAAGGCCCAAGCACATCCCTTTGAAAATGTCCAATCAGTGTTGCCGCCAAATTCATGGCTGGGCTTGTATCCTGTTCCTGGTATGAACTATGAAAACATTACTATTCAGCAGTTTGATAATTATAGGTTTGCAAATGAGACCCTGGACACTTTCCTGTATTTGGCTAATGAGCAAAATAGTACCCGTTCAAACTGATTTGGTACGGTTAATTCATTAACTTTAATGGGTCTTTGCTTCATTGCCAAACATTTCTTTAGCAACTGGTGGGTTTTTCCTTGTAGCCATAGCTATTTCTCTCTTTATCATATCTCCTATGAATTCTCTATAATGAATAAGTATTTCAAGCAACAGTTACAAACTTATCTCCTTCTCTTTGAAGTTTTAAACAAACAGAAATGCCATTGATTTCGGGAACAATAACCTATAGTGAAATGCTTGCTTTTGCTTTCGATTTCTTTTTCCTGAGTTTCCCAAGAAAGATACATGTTTCTGCTGGGGACTCCCATCCTGTAGCATTCTGCTGAAATCATTTATTCTCAGGCCAATGTTATTATTCAGTATACCAGACAAAAGTCAAGTGCTGACTGTGCTGTTGGTTGAATTATGTCTAGTTTCTTATATCATGTATATTCAATACCAATAAAGAATAGTATCCTATTCTGCTAAGTAATTTGGAAAAAAAGTATAGTAATGTATCTTTTTTTCTAATGTAATCATTTATCTTCGTCTTCACTTGAAGATAGACTTCTTGAGCCAAACCATGTAAATATGTTCTCCCTTTTTTTTTTCATGTTTGTTTTCAATTTTCCTGAATTTCAGATATTCCATAGACTTGTTTGGCATCCTAACTAGTTGTCACATCCTCCTGTTTTTGTATTTACGATTCTTCTTTATGTTTTACCGTGATTCTGATAACTGATCCTATGGGTGGTGAGCCAGATCATAAACGTGATGCAGCAAGAGCAGAGAATTCATATACTCTTTCCTTTGGAAGTGAGCTTATTGGTATGCAGCGAGATTGGAATGAAGAGTTACAGTCGTGTCGGGAGTTCCCGCAGACCACACATCAGGAAAGGTGCTCTTTCTGGAGTCATTATGTAATATTTGCGGCAAGATCATAGGTGTAAATATTGTATTTTACTTACCCCTTATTTGCAGGATCTTAAGAGATAGGGCGCTTTACAAGGTCACTTCTGATTTTGTTGAAGCTGCAACTAGCGGTGCTATTGGAGTGATAAGTAGATGTATTCTACCTATTAACCCAACTGATCCCGAGTGCTTTCATATGTGAGTACTTTGCATGAGCCTTCATTTTCAATATCAGATTTGTTTTTCGTTCAATCTGTTGATTGGTCTATTTGATTTTACTTTTTTCTGAATTCCTTTTGTGGTGTGGATCTGTCTTATATTGAAAAACATGCAAAGAGGACTACGACGGAACTCACAGCTTCCCTTACTGGACACTTCTTTTAGCAATTTTTTTATGCTGCATCCTTCTTATGTAGTTTATATAGCTTTTACCATTATATAAACATGAATATCCAATTACATATTCATACTGTAAGTTTTTTCTGTGTATCAATTTCTAAGCCTTTTTTTATAACTTTCATGATTGTAATTCCCTCGCGACACCTTAAATTCATACTTTGTTCTCAATCAGTGACAATATCCCATTTTTTGTTGACTTTTAGGTATGTCCACAACAACATATTCTTTAGTTTTGCCGTTGATGCGGACATTGAGCTATTGACTCGGAAGCAGGCATCAGAAGTCCACTCTAAACTCCAGGGCACAGCTTCTTCGCAGGGTGATACCAATACATTGGGAAACAATCTGTCGCATTTGGATGACAATCTGCCACATGTGGATGTATCAGCTATTCCAAACATGGAAAACACTAGTGGCACTGATGCAATTTCCCCTGACGTGCCTGCAGAGTCTCAGCTGGCTGAAAATGAGCAAGCTACATATGCTAGTGCTAATAATGATTTGAAAGGCACCAAGGCATACCAGGAAGCTGATGTTCCTGGATTATACAATCTTGCTATGACCATTATTGATTATAGAGGTCACAGAGTTGTTGCGCAGGTGCACATTTGCTAACACTTATTTCTCATTGGGTCCCGTATACTGAATTTTGTATTTTATCAGATTTAGTGTCTTTGCTAACTGGGGAGGAGCATAAGTACCTGTGTTGCATTTATTGGTTTTTCCACCCCTCCTTTTTTACCACAGAAGACCACCCTGAGTTCTTTTTGCTTGCATATTGTGCCATGTCAATAATGTCGCTTTCCATTCCGCTGGTCTGGAGTTCTCAAAATCTTTTCGAATAACCAACAAATTCTGATTTATGTAATTGTCCATGCTACACTTTTATCTGAAGATTTTGTTGTAATGTATTAGATTGAGCATTAAAATGTTAATTATTGGTAAGTTTCATATTTTGGCTCATAACTGCTTATTTTTCTTTTGCTGCCAGAGTGTATTGCCTGGAATCCTCCAAGGTGATAAGTCGGACTCCCTTCTCTATGGATCTGTTGACAACGGCAAGAAAATTTGCTGGAGTGAAGATTTTCATTCCAAGGTAGGAGGATCTAACCAATTTTTACTACGAAAGTAGCCTTCCTCAAATATTTTTCCAGCTTCTGACATAACCCTTTGTCTCGAGTGCTACTGCTGCCTTACCTTTCTCATGGATATTATCATATTATACAAACTAATAATTCGCCTTAGCTTTCTCATGGATATTATCATATTATACAAACTAATAATTCTCGCTTTACCTTTCTCATGGATATTATCATATTATACAAACTAATAATTCTCTTTTCTTATTTCCATAAATTTCCTTAGTATTGAATATGTGGCTCACATACTTACAGTTTTTGTATTATAAATTGAGCATTTATTTAATTATTTCACCAGGCTTATTAGTTGAACTTCATAGGTTGTCCTGATTTAGTTTTTTCTTTTATAGCCTTTCTATCCAATGAGAAGCTCTATATAAAAAAACATTTCTCAAATTCTCATTAGTAGTTGGCTTATATTGCTGAGCTTTTTAATTCTCATTGATGTACTTTGCTTAGTGAATCCCTTATTTCTTTATTGAAATGAACTTCTCGTTGGAATCATTTATTAATTGGTGAAGGATAGCCAACTCTTCCTTAACACAGTACCATGAACATAATAGGAGTAACCTTTAAATGGCATAGCCATGGTCAGAGGCAACAAGTGCGATTGGAAATCACATTGCCCTGGCCAGATTTGGCTCCGTTGCCGAGGCCGGTGCCTTGTAGCTCGTCACAGAGCCGTTCCTACTTTCAAGGCGATGCAGAGGCGCGCCTTACCCTGTCTGTCCAGTTTTAAGATGTGCTTAAATTAAAAACAAAACTTGGTTTTTTCTATGAGGGAAAAATACCTTGATAAGCTACTTAGATCTGAAAATGAGAGAAACCCATGGTTGATCCATCCCATTTTTCTGACCTCGTGGGCTAGGACGATAAGAGGGATAGGTAAGGGTAAGGGTTAGGGTTATGAGGGTGAAGATTTTCAGGAGGTTGCAGATAAGCTTGGAAGTTTCCCATGAATTGCATTTCTTTGTGTTCTTTGTTTCATTGTTTGTGAAATTGTGTGTTCTTTTTCATTCTTTTATTTTTTTTTAAATGAGTATTGATTTTCACTTTCACGCACTCTCTCTGTCTCTTTCTTGATATAGTGGACGTGGGGTGCGAAGAGTGTGAATGATAATATTGAGGGAGATGGAATTGGGTCTTCGGAAAGACCACTGATTATTTTTCAAATACATTGCTGATGTCATGTTCAGTGCTTTTGGAAAATAGTAATGATCATTTTTCTGGTGGTGTGTTGTGACAAATTATGAAGTTGGGTAGGTTTTCTGGATCTTCAGCTGCTTTTCATAATTTCATCTTATTTTCTTTATTTTAGTTTTCAGTTTTTTCCTTGTCACTTTAGTTTCTGTTTTCATATTTATTTTTTTAATTTATATTTATATTTTTTTTCTACTTTTAATTCTGTTCATATTTTAATTTAATTTTCTGACTTGATTTTCTATTTTTTTTGCCTTTTAATTTATTTTATGTTCGTATGTAATTTTTTTGTTCCAATTTTATTTTGCTACGGTTTCTAATATCATGTTTTTTAGGATATTTTGTAAAATATAATCCATGCAGTTTCCTTGTTACTACAGTGCAACTTCCTTGCACATTCATTGCATTTTCATTGCAGCTGCATAGCACTTTCATGGCAGCTATTTTAGTTTGATTTTTCAACTTATGTATTTTCTAGGAAAGTCACTAGGATAGTTGTTTTTAGTTCTTATAAATAGGGGTGCAGTTTTTATTTGTAAAGAAACAACACAGCAAAAACTGAATAATCAATACTTTGAGTTGTTCAATATCTTCTTCTTCTATCCTAAAAGTGTCCGTTTGTGTCGGGAAGCATTTTCGCTTACACGAACAGTGCATCTTAACTGCAAATAAAGACGAGCAGGGACTAACAAGTGGCATCAGAGCCATGGCAAGCCAAGATGCTGCGTCGATGGTGCAAGGGAGCGGTGCACACGCTTCACCGCGCCAGGAGGTCATCATCCACAGGACCGTACGGGACGTTGGCGGGGCCAACTGGCCGGTCCTCACACGCACAAACTATGGCGAGTGGGCGGTGCTGATGAAGGTCAAGTTGCGTGCGCGTAAGCTATGGCGGGCCATTGAAGAAGGCACCGAGGATGAAGAAGAGGACTGTGCAGCGATGGAAGCGATTCTATCCGCTGTGCCTCACGAGTACGTGGAGTCGCTGGGCGTAAAGGACTCCGCAAAGGCTGCTTGGGACGCCCTCAAGGCCATGCGCATCGGGTCTGATCGCGCAAAGAAGGCGAAGGCGCAGCAGCTGCGGCGGGAGTATGAGGCGCTGGTGTTCCGCGACAGCGAGGCAGTGGAGGATTTCTCGCTCCGTCTGCAGTCGTTCGTCAGTCAACTGGCGGCGCACGGCGTCACCATCACCGACGAGGAGGCGGTCGCGAAATACTTGCGTGTCGTGCCACCTAAGTACGCCCAGATCGCGCTCTCCATCGAGACGTTGATCGACATGTCCACCCTCACGATTGAGGATGTGACTGGGCGCTTGCGGGCGGTCGATGACCGTGTGGAGACGGCGACGATAACTACCAGCGGCAAGTTACTGCTGACCGAGGAAGAATGGGCAGCTCGTATGCGCGAGCGACGGCCCGAGGAAGGCTCCTCCAGCCGTGGCGGCTACGGCAAGCGTCGTGGCAAGGCCCCGCAGAAGAAGAAGAAGGACGGCGACAACGCGCGTCCGATCGACAAGGACACTTGCCGACGCTGTGGGAAGACAGGGCACTGGGCCAGGGATTGCAAGAATCCCAAGAAGGAGAAGAGGGAGGCGCACCTCGCGCAGGTGGACGACGAGGAGCCAGCTCTTCTCATGGCAACGACCTGTAAGTTGCACGACGTCGAGCCAGAGTTGGAGGAAGTCAAGGCGACGGCTACAGAGCAGGGGAAGTCACTGCAGGCCGTTCACCTCGACGAGTCAAGTGCCCAAGTCCACCTTGGACGAATGGGCGATGGCATGGAGCAGAGGTGGTACCTAGACTCCGGCGCCAGCAACCACATGACCGGCTCCAAGGAGGCCTTCTCCGAGCTTGATGACGGCGTGACGGGGACGGTGAAGTTCGGCGACGGCTCGAAGGTGGAGATTCGAGGTCGCGGCACCGTCATCTTCCGGTGCCAGAACGGCGAGCACCGCGCATTGACGGATGTGTACTATATCCCGCAGTTGCGTTCAAGCATCGTCAGCATCGGGCAACTGGACGAGCACGGCTGCGAGGTGCTTGTCAAAGACGGCGTGCTAAAACTCCGGGACCAAGAACAGCGGCTGCTGGCCATGGTCCAGCGTTCCCGGAACCGCCTCTACCTCCTCGACTTGAAAGTGGAGCAACCGGTGTGTTTGGCGGTACGACACACCGAGGAGCCATGGCTATGGCATGCTCGGTTCGGCCATTTGAACTTCGACGCACTCGGCCGGCTGAGGAAGATGGTGCGCGGGCTCTCGCACATCGAGCACGCAGGCGAGCTGTGCGACAGCTGCCTGGCAGGGAAGCAGAAGCGGCTGCCCTTCCCAAAGGCGGCCAAGTATCGTGCGGCGGACGTCCTAGAGCTCGTCCACGGCGACCTTTGCGGGCCGATCACGCCGGCTACACATGGCGGACGATGCTACTTCCTGCTGCTCGTGGATGACTGTAGCCGTTTCATGTGGCTGCAGCTCTTGACGAGTAAGGATCAGGCGACAGAGGCAATCAAGCGGTTCCAGGCGCGAGCCGAGGCAGAGTCCGGGAAACGGCTGCGCGTGCTGAGGACGGATCGCGGTGGCGAGTTCACATCGGTGGAATTCGCCGCGTACTGTGCAAACCAGGGGGTGGTGCGCCATCACACTGCGCCGTACTCACCGCAACAAAACGGCGTAGTGGAGCGGCGGAATCAGACCGTGGTAGGCATGGCCCGAAGCATGTTGAAGGCAAAGGGCATGCCAGCGGAGTTCTGGGGAGAGGCTGTGAGCACGGCGGTGTTCATCCTCAACCGTGCGCAAACGAAGGCCTTGAAGGGCATGACGCCATTCGAAGCTTGGCATGGTAGGCTGCCCGACGTCTCGTTTCTAAGGACGTTTGGATGCATTGGCCATGTGAAGAAGACGAAGCCTTTTCTGTCCAAGCTTGAGGATAGGAGCACACCGATGGTGTTCCTAGGCTACGAGGAGGGAAGCAAGGCCTATCGGCTCTACGATCCACGTGGAGACAAGGTGGTGGTTTCGCGGGATGTGGTGTTCGACGAAATGGCGGCCTGGGATTGGGAGAATCCTGGCATGGGGGAAGCCCGTGGCGTCGGTGGTACGTTCGTCATCGAGCATTTGGTGATCCACGGAGGAGGAGATGCGGGAGTAGAGGAGCCAGCTGCGGACGCGCTAAGTCCAGCAGCTGTGGCGGCGTCGAATGAGCCCCAAAGTCCAGCCATGGCGGGCACGGGCGAAGAGTTTCCACCAGTGGCTGCACACACACCCCCACCACATTCCCCTACTGCGGCAGGACAGGGGACACCTCCAGCGACGACAGTTGAGTTCGCCTCTCCTCCAAGCGACATCGACGAGTATGTGGATGCCTTCCACGATGGCGAGGGGGTGAGGTTTCGCAGGATGGACAACCTCGTTGGCAACTCGGCTGTACCAGGCTTGGCGAGCCGATTACTCGATGATCAGGAGCTGCTCCTCGTCAACGCAGAGGAGCCATCGACTTTCGCGCAGGCCGAGGGAGATGTTAATTGGAGACGAGCTATGCTAGAGGAGATGAAGGCGATCGAGGAAAATGAGACGTGGGAGCTCGTCGATCCACCTCCAGGCTGTCATCCAATCGGGCTCAAATGGGTCTACAAAGTCAAGCGGGACGAGTGTGGCGCCATAGTCAAGCACAAGGCGCGCCTCAGTTGCTCGCGGTTTCGTCCAGCGAGAGGGCATCGACTTTGAGGAAGTTTTTGCACCAGTGGCGCGCATGGAGTCAGTTCGCCTACTGCTAGCCATGGCGGCAGCGAAGGACTGGAGCATTCATCACCTGGACGTGAAATCGGCCTTCCTCAACGGCGAGTTAGAGGAGACTGTTTTCGTCAAGCAAGCCCCGGGCTTCGTCGTCAAGGGAAAGGAGCACAAGGTGCTACAGCTGCGGAAGGCACTCTATGGGTTGCGACAAGCCCCACGAGCGTGGAACGCCAAACTCGATGCCACTCTGGGTACGCTTGGGTTCACGCGCTGCGTGACAGAACACGCGCTCTACACGTCGTCGGGGGAAGGAGGAGATCGTCGTCGGCGTGTATGTGGATGACTTGATCATCACTGGGGCACGAGAAGGGGACATCAACGGCTTCAAGCGCGAGATGGCAGCTCGTTTCCGCATGAGCGATCTCGGGCAGCTTTCCTACTACCTCGGCATCGAGGTGAAGCAGGGGAGAGACTCCATCACTCTCTGCCAGCGTGCGTATGCGGGGAAGCTATTGGAGCGGAGTGGCATGGCTGACTGCAAGTCATGCGCGACTCCGATGGAGGAGCGGCTGAAGCTGACGAAAGCCAGCACCGCGGGGAAGGTGGATGCAACACTCTACCGGAGTATCGTCGGCGGGCTGCGCTACCTAGTCCACACGAGGCCAGATATCGCATTTGCCGTGGGCTATGTCAGCCGCTTCATGGAGGACCCCCGAGAGGATCATTGGGCTGCAGTAAAGCGGCTGTTGCGCTATGTCAAGGGGACGGTGGACCAGGGCATCATCTTTCCTAAGACCGGCGGCAGAAGTGGGCTGCGGCTCACGGTTTTCAGCGATGCAGACATGGCAGGCGACATTGATGGACGAAAGAGCACCTCCGGTGTGCTCGTCTTCCTTGGATCGGCCCCAATCTCATGGCAGTCGCTGAAACAGAAGATCGTGGCGTTGTCTACGTGCGAGGCGGAGTACGTGGCGGCAGCCACAGCGGCGTGTCAGGCAGTCTGGCTGCATCGGTTGCTGGGCGAGCTGACCGGCGAGGAAGCTCGTCCACCAGCTCTGATGGTGGACAACCAGCCCGCCATTGCCCTTGCGAAAAATCCAGTCCTCCATGACCGGAGCAAGCACATCGATACCCGTTTTCACTTCATCCGGGATTGTGTCGATGAAGGACAGATTGTTTTGGAGTTTGTCGAATCCGGACGGCAGCTCGCGGACATCCTTACCAAGCCACTCGGCCGTCTTCGGTTCATGGAGCTTAGGACCAAGATTGGAATGATGGGAAACAAGCAAAAGCAGCAGGATTATGGGAAGAATTGTAAAATATAATCCATGCAGTTTCCTTGTTACTACAGTGCAACTTCCTTGCACATTCATTGCATTTTCATTGCAGCTGCATAGCACTTTCATGGCAGCTATTTTAGTTTGATTTTTCAACTTATGTATTTTCTAGGAAAGTCACTAGGATAGTTGTTTTTAGTTCTTATAAATAGGGGTGCAGTTTTTATTTGTAAAGAAACAACACAGCAAAAACTGAATAATCAATACTTTGAGTTGTTCAATATCTTCTTCTTCTATCCTAAAAGTGTCCGTTTGTGTCGGGAAGCATTTTCGCTTACACGAACAGTGCATCTTAACTGCAAATAAAGACGAGCAGGGACTAACATATTTGATGTTGATTTTGTCATTTGAACTTAATATAGTTACGTACTTTTACCATCTAGTTTACAGTTTTTTATGCTTAGGTGCCTTGTGTTGCCGACATTCTCGCCTCTCGCCTCGGGGCCATCTAATGGGCAAATTGCCTTGGATAACCACTGGCCATTTGAATTTATGGGAGTAACTCATTGACTGAAGATATATTTTGAGTGAGGCAGAGATTAAAGAACTTAGTAACTGCTTGTAATTATTTGTGTATTTGTTTGCTGAAATAAACACGGTTATTTCCCTTCCAGATAAGTTTGAAGATGCATGGCATGCATGTATTTGTTTTTAATATTATTTATCAAAATTTAAATTATCTTTGGATCTTGAGATGGTCTCTGCGGATGCATAAGGTATTGCAATGTTTAACAAATTTTACAATCAAGTTGACAGATAGATTTTCCATTTTCTTTCAAGAAGATACATAGTGCTACTTTCAGTTATAGAAAATGAGATATAGGAATTTTTATGATGGGGTTGTCTTTTGAGAATGTTAACAGTAACCGATTTGAGGAAACATACGGTAAACACCTTTTTGGACTTTTGGGCTGAGAATGCAATGAAGTTTCTGGAGTAGAGTTGGATTTTTCTCATTAATGACCTAAAATTAGTGTTGTGAAATAGCAACCAGTCCACTATGGCGTGTAGCGGCTTTGCAATGGCGGCACCATTCCAGCCACCACGAGCATGGTGGCCATGGCGGTTTCACGCTGATGGTGGAAAATTGCAGTTGCCGCACAGATTTTGCAGTAAAAAAGAAGCAAAAAATAATTGGGCCGGCCCAATGTCTACAGATCTGCCATAAGAAGCCTAATTGTTGCAAGAAAAATAAAGGAGGATAGCCATCCATTGGGGATCTACCCACTGGTCACCTGCCCTCCGGCCACCCTTATTTCTCTTTTACTTTTCTTTTTTTACTTTCCCTATTTGTTTATTTTTTCTCTATCTTTTATCTCTCTCTTTTTTTTTTCCTGTTCTATTTGCTTCTTTTACTAACGGCTTTTGGCTGCCTTTATTCTTTTCAGATTTTTATTTATTTGTTTTAATATCTGTTTCTTGTATCATTAAATAAAAATGCAACTTTATTTTTTCTTTTTGTTCCCTTATAGTGACGCTCTTTATCTAATTGCTTTCTTTTGATTTTCAGGTCTTTCTTTTGTTACTGATTCTTTTTTTATGAATTTAGTGACATGTTTTAACATTTAATTATGGTGTTATACATGTGTATGTATGTTTTAATGTGTATAAATATATGTAAAAAATTATAATTTTTAAGCTGCCATTTTCCGCCACGACATCCGCTCTAAATATATTAGCAGTTTTTTTGCTTGCCGCTAAGAGCTGTAATCTGCCATTGATAACACTGCTAAAAGTTGCACTGGTTCTTGTTACTATCAGACTTAGTTTTGCCCTTTTGGACTTCTGTTTTGGAAATTCATTGAAGTGGAGTTCTTTGTTAGAAAAGAACCTACCTTCTCTGTCATTATTTGTGTTCTAAGAACTTTGTTTCTATGTTGGTACTATGGAGGCTTTCTCTCTGCTTATCTCTTGAAACTTCTAATGTTTATCAAAATTCTGCTCGACAAGTTGGTAATTTTTTGTTCTACAATTATTTCATAGGTACTAGAAGCTGCTAAGCGTCTTCATCTGAAGGAGCACACTGTACTTGATGGAGCTGGCAATGTATTTAAACTAGCTGCACCAGTTGAGTGCAAGGGCATTGTTGGCAGTGATGACAGGTGCAATTTGTCTTGCTTATTGTCCTGTGATTTGTGGTTATCTTCTACTGATACCTTTTTGTTCTTTTATGTTCTTCTCCCCACCATTTGAAGTATAAATTTGTTCCATTGCAGCAAAGCACCATGAAAATTCAATGTTTCCTCATATGAACATGATTCATGTACTACTTTTCTTCTGGTTTCAATCTAGTTAGCTAAGGCATGATCTTTGATCTTTTTCTTAAGCCAGAATGTTTGCCCTAATGCCCATGTTCTTGTTAGGTCTGTTGCATCATGCTGAATCATCAATCACAGATTCTGAAAACTACGGCTAAATATTTCGGAAAAGTAAATCTGTTATCCATCTTTTACATGGTCATATATGGACTTGGTAGATGATTCGAAGCATATATACATCAGCTCCTCATTTCTCTAAATATATATGCATTCCGGTCCAAAAAAGATGGCACATGCTTCTATTTTTGGTGTCCTAGAAAGTTAGCCCTGTTACTTAAGTAGAGAATGTAATCAATAAACCAGCCGATAAAATAAAGTCATCGTATAAAATAATATATAAGTAAGAGGCCTTTTTTCTTTCCCAACAATAATGATTCTGTTTTCTTAATCTGTTTGGAATGTTATAAGACTCTTTGTGGGATGAAGGGAGTGTTTTGTTCTAATTCATTAGTATTATTGGGTGTCCTATTCCTGTCATAGTAGGAAATATTATTGATGTAATTTTGCAATTTTTCCTGCCCCATTCTTCTGATTTGTTAATTATTTTATCGGTTTTATTTTTTTGTTCGTGATCAGACATTATCTTCTGGATTTGATGAGAGTCACTCCTCGTGATGCAAACTATACTGGACCGGGCTCCAGATTCTGCATTTTGAGGCCTGAACTAATATATGGCTATTGCCATGTAAGATTCAGTTCCCCATAATCAGTTTTACTACTAAACCATATTGAAAGGCTGAATCTTAAACATTCTTCTGTTTTTCACTGTCTTTTTTCAGCGTGAAAAAGCTGAAGCTGCAAAGATGTCGAACTGCGGTACTGAACTGGAGGACAATTCTGTTTCTGATTCTTTGGATGTCAACAATGCAGGAAATGTGGAGAAAACCGAGGAGCATGTAGCATCAGCAGCATGTAGGAAACCGGTATGTTTTTGCTATCCTGATAGCTTCTTTTATTATCCCTTGATACGAGCATAGCTTTTACAAGAAAGTGTTGCACTTTGAATATGAAATTCAGATGTGCTTACAATTGCAACTGTTTCCATTAGCAGTATTGACCAGAATTAATGAAGTCCTACAATTTGGTTGAAAACACTGTCAATGGGTAGATTTCCACACTGTACTGATTTAAAACTGTCTTCAGTGCATGCCAGTTCCATGAATTTTACTGGCTGTTGCCTGTTTTAGCTTGAACTAGACTCTCTTTAATAACATAAAGAGACAGAATTTTTGAACCTCTTTAATGCAGGCCACTTAAACCAGTACAGCTTGAGCGGAACGGATAATCGGACCCTTCTTGTGTTTCATGTTAATCTCCCAATACATTAATTGAAGTTTGACAGCGTAGATAAATTTGTTGATATGCCACGTTACAATGGTTTGCTTTTCACCAAGTTTACCATGGAGTGAAGGTTGCCGGATTATGATTAGTTTGGCCTTTATTAATCTCTACGTCGTGCAACATACTAGTATCACTTTTCTTTGAATTATAAAATACTCCTGAGTCCTGACTTGACATTTTGTAATTGATTTGAACTTTTTTGTTTAGAGGCTTTTAGCCTCTGGTCCAAGTTGTTTTTTGGATTTAAAAAGTTAGCTTCTGAGGATTCACATATACATTACCCGGTCTAAATGTTGCTTGACCTAGTTCCAATTATATTGCATATGATTTCTGCAGGATGATGAAAATAGTGGGATGCAGAGCCTTCAAAAATGTGATTCTCACTCGAGCAATAAAACTTCAAGAAAAGAGAGATTCTTCAATCCTAATGTTTTTACCGATTTTAAGTTAGCTGGGAGTGAAGAGGTAGCATACATAACCTTTCCCATTCTGTCAACCTAATATTTTCCAGTAAGTGCTTGTTGAAATTTGCAAAGCAATGTATACCAGGAAATTTCTGCGGATGAGGAAGATGTGAGGAAAGCAAGTCTGTATCTTATAGATGTTGTACTGCCTAAATTCATACAAGATTTGTGCGCCCTTGATGTTTCACCAATGGATGGACAAACTTTAACTGAAGCACTCCATGCACATGGCATTAATGTTCGATATATTGGAAAAGTAAGAAATTTTTTTAGTTTTTTAGCACCGTTCAGTTTGATTTTTGTGTACCTTGAACTTGAATCTCAGGTTTGTGCACTTTGGGTCGAAAAGTCTTGTTGAACGTATCTTCTTATTTACGATTTTGAATAGCTCGTATGTTCCCATGGTGCTGTAGGTTTCTGAAGGGGTTCGACATATGCCTCACTTATGGGATCTTTGTTCCAATGAAATAGTTGTCCGCTCTGCTAAGCATGTTGTTAAGGTAACTGTCAGTTGTGCTCTTAATCATTATTATGCATCTTGAGCATCATGTAGGTTTTCAATCTTTATTGTCTTTAGCAAAAAGTATTTTGAGCATCTAGATTTGAAAGAAAAATTTAGGTCTTAAATTCTGAAAATTCTGTAGTGTGATGTGAGATATTGCAAGACTTCAAGCTACTGAAGAAGAAACTTTAATGAAGTCCACAAAGTGAAAAAACTTAACAAACCTATAGACAGGCCCAAGGAAATTCAAGCACGAATTATAAAAAGCAGGACATAAGAAGATATAAATTATTTGCACAAAGCATAAAAATACTTTTGCGAAGCCCTGAAGGTAATAATATATTAGATGGAAAGTTGTTACAGAAAGAGGAATAGAACAACTGTAACGACTAGTTCCAGATTTGTTACCTCGTCCAACTCTTCATCACTGAAGCGAGAGAACTCTAGAACATCAAATCTAAACTAATACTGAAGTCTAAGATCTCCACAAAGTACAAAAGTACAGACTACAGAAGGTGCTGTAGTTTGAAAACAATTTTTTTTAAAAAAGATTAATATTAAATATCCACAAACTGCAATACTTAGTTATTTAAAAAACTTGTGTTTGACTATTATAAAATTGACACTAACATAGGTCGTTAAGTCAACTGCTTTCATTCTTTTGGTGAAATTGAAAAGTGTGAATTTGAAGGCACATTATTTTCTTTTTGTGATGTGCATCCTCAGATCTAGAATATTATTTTTGTATTGTTTTTACATCTTATTCCTATCTTAGAATCTAGGACCCTCTTATTATTATTATTTTTTTCGATGATAATTTGGAAGGGACTTCAAACCGTAACTTAACTAGATGATATATATGGAAAGCACATCATAACTTGTATATATATATATATATATTTATATATATATAATTCTCTCTCTGTGTGTGTGTGTGTGTGTGTTTTGAGTTGTGAACACTAAACTATAACAGTTCGAAGTGTAATCTTAGTCTCAGATTGAGTTGTTGAACATCATAGACAGTGATGATAATAATATAATAGTCATATCTAATTAGGGCTGACAATCTAACCAATCTACCATTGATATTTGACTGTCAGTCGTTCGTTAAAGCTTGTTTGAGTTCGGTTTCGACATAGTTTTCAAACAAGTTTGAAAATGTTTTACGTTCAACAAAATTCTGATCTCTGCTGGAAATTTATGTTCGATAAGGAAAAAAAAAATATGTGTAGATATATGAAGCCTTTCGAGCTCGATTTGACTAAAGCTCTTTTGGGTTTTGCTTAAGTAAGAAACCTAATAAGCGCAAATATTATTGTGAAAGATTGATAAATTTTTTAACAATCTTGAACAGTACTATGTAGGTTTAATTCGACTCATTTACACCTTATCTCTGATAGAGCGCACAACTATTGTTCATATATTAATATTATGGTATAGTTGTGAACTCAATTGCACATAATATGAAGTGACATTGTAGGTATACAAGTTATGGTATTGATTCTCCTGTACGTTTTTTTTTTTTTTTTANACACCAGATTCTCCTGTAAGTTATAGTGTGTTTGCCATTAAGTTTTCTTCTTGTTCTAGTTGTTGCCTCAAAACCCATAATTTATTAACTTTTAATTAACACATTAGTCTTTTGTTGGTCATGTGATGAACATTGTTAAGCTTCTGTTATTTGTTTATTACTCATTTGGCAGCCAACTTACGGAAATCCCATTATCTTTTGCCGTCAATTTTCTCCTTAAAGTTTTTTTGTATTTCTCTGAAACAAACTCGTTCGATTTTATGTTCTAAATATGCTTGCTAGCTTCATTGTGTTTCTCTTTTAGTTGTGAAACAAAATTGTGTATTGAACAAGCCGCAAAATGGTTTATCCTGTGACCTTTGGCTTTTGTATGAGTTTTTGCTTATTTATGCCCCCCAACCTCTCATTTTATGCTCATGTTAAGGAGTCTTAAATCTACATGCAGGATCTTTTAAGGGATACAGAGGACCATGATCTGGGGCTTGCAATTTCACATTTCTTCAACTGTTTTGTTGGGAAGGTTCAATCTGACAGTTCATCCAAATCCCAGAAAAAGGTGTATAAATTGGCGTGGAACAGTTTTTGTCCTCAGAACCTAGTATCCCATGTCAATATTTGCTGCTTGATCTGGAAATTTTTCTTACTAGATTTGCTTTGCGGATGTATTTATACGCAGTTTGATGAAGAGAAGATAATAATAGTGATCTGAGTATGTCAACACATAATGATGTAAAATTTGGAAGAAGCTAAAATGAGTCGTGGGATTATTCACTATATTGCTTTACCTATATTTCTTACATTATGGATTGCCATTATTCTGTCTCCATCAACCCTGAAACCTACATACTTTATTATTATACAGGTTCATTCAGGCCATCATGCTTCCAGGAAGTCTACTAAGGGACAAGCTAAGTTGAAAAATGGGGGATATTTAAGGAAGAAAGAGTCTGTTTATTTGAGTTTTACCACTGATAGTTTGTGGTCTGACATCCAAGAGTTTGCAAAACTCAAATACCAGGTTTCTTGGTTTTCAATTGAACTTTTCCAAGCAGATCTTTATAATTTGTATTTTAATTCTCAAGATATTCCTTCTGCAGTTTGAGTTGCCAGAAGATGCAAGGCAAGGGGTGAAAAAAATTTCAGTTATACGTAATCTTTGCCAGAAGGTAGTCTTCTATTTCTGTTATGACCGACCAGTTTAATTTTTTCTCGAACCAAAATGGTCGATAAAGGACCATGCCCTTCTATCTATCTGTTTGCTATTTGTTCTGATTGACTGCACTCTACGTGAGATGTATCTGGATGGCTATATTCTTTAGAAAGTTTATGATATGTTGGAGAATGCTTTGAAGACGAACATGTTCTCCATCAACCAAAATAAGCGATCAATACAATAGCAGAACCACTTGCATTGAAGTTGAATATACTTTTTTTTTGTTAATAATATACTTTTGCTTTTTATTTATTCATGCAATTATTTATCTGATTAACAGATTGGAATCACCATTGCTTCTCGCCACTATGATTTTGATGCTTTGGCTCCTTTTGGAGTTTCAGACATATTAAATATCCAACCAGTGGTGAAGCATTCAATTCCAGTCTGTTCGGAAGCCAAGGATCTGGTTGAAACTGGGAAAGTTCAATTAGCAGAGGTATGATTATTTTGCCAATTGCCACGTGATGAGGAAATTTAAGTTAGACTAGTCAACTTCTGGTAAATCTGTTGTCATATTCATATCTTCATGATGGTGTTGGTCTTTGATGATAGTAATAGTGGTATTAATCTACGGGATAACTGAAGTATCAGCTAAGCTTAATGGTTTGTCTTATTAATCTGTCGTAATTGATTGACTCGTATTCCCTCAATTACTCGTATTCCCATATGCTATGAAACTTGAATGTAACCAGCATCATGTGTTTTGTCTCATTGTTCTACATGATACAGGCCAATGGATTCTGTATCAGAACTTTCTCCTAAATAGATCATAGATTCTTATGGTAGCTGTTCTATAACCTCCTTTTTATTTTATTTTTATTGCTCTCAGGGAATGCTCAATGAGGCATACACATTATTTTCTGAAGCTTTCGCATTATTCCAGCAGGTGGGAATAAAATGGTGCTTAGCCTTGCATGTTCTGTTGGCTTTATTAATCTAGGAAATACAACTGATTAAAAAATATATTGCAGGTCACTGGTCCAATACATCGGGAGGTCGCAAATTGTTGCCGGTAATTATATTATGTGATAATATAAATTACAGATGTTTTATTTGTATATTTTGGATGATACTGGACTTTGTCGATATGCTATAGCTACTGCTAGGCATCGAAACCTGGGGCTTTTCATTCGCGTGAAATGATTTATACTAGTACTGACTACTGAATATGGATTACAATTATAGTTACTTGGCAATGGTCTTGTACCATGCTGGAGATATGGCTGGAGCCATTATGCAACAACATAGAGAACTTATCATAAATGAACGGTGCCTTGGGCTAGACCATCCTGACACTGCTCACAGGTTATATTATCTCACTTCAGATTGTTTCTTTCCTTTATTGTCATGACAAACTTTACCAAGGGGGTTGAATTTCTGTGTTCACCAGTTCTTTAATGCTTGGATATAAGATGTTTTGATTTTGTTTGGATTTTTTTTGTTTGGTATGGTTAATTTTGAAAAATGTGGTATGGTTAGTTGTTAGTGGAATTTGAGTTTATATTAAAATAATATTTAAAATAACATAATTAAAGTTGATTTGATGTAAAGTAGGAGAGATATGATGTGAAGTGATGATTAGTTAGTTGATGTAATTTGTAAAGAATGATTGAGTGGTATTATTTAACTATATTGTCAATATTGACGATAGTGAGGTCTGAGTTAAAGTTAGATTTTGAGTTAAAAAAAAAAGTGATTGATTAAAAATGATTGGATTTTTTTTGGAAATATTTGTATCCAAGCATGCACTTAGAATCCATTTATATATTAGAACAAGGTTAATCTAAGTAGCTGATGGAAGCATTCAAGTATTGTGTGGGAGATTATAATCTTGTACAACCATCTCNTATGGAACATTTTCTGTGCAGCTATGGAAATATGGCTCTGTTTTATCACGGTTTAAATCAAAGCGAGCTGGCGTTGCGCCACATGTCACGCGCTCTGCTTCTTCTAAATCTATCGTGTGGGCCCGATCACCCTGATGTTGCCTCTACTTTCATAAACGTTGCCATGATGTATCAAGATATTAAAAAGATGGACACTGCACTTAGATATTTGCAGGAAGCTTTGAAAAAGAATGAAAAACTGTTGGGGGCAGAGCATATTCAAACTGCAGTGTGCTATCATGCTTTGGCTATTGCTTTCAACTGTATGGGTGCTTACAAGCTATCTTACCAGGTATGAATGCAACACAGATAATTTTGTATATGAATTTATATCACTCGGGCACGTTTTTACGACTGTTTACTGTGGCAGCACGAGAAAAAAACATATGATATTCTCGTGAAACAACTGGGTGAGCACGATTCAAGGACAAAGGAATCTCAGAACTGGATGCAGGCGTTTAAGATAAAAGAGGCAAGTATTCAGCTATCCTAGCACTCGGCATTTATTTGATACTGAATATTAGTAATCAATGTTTTAACCTCCATGTCGATCTAAATTTCTTTTCTATTTCAACTGACAGAATAATGCACAAAAGCAGAAAGGTGAGATCTTGAAAGCTGTTTCTGCACAAAAGGCTTTTGAGGAGATACTTAAGGTGTGCTTATGTACCATGTTACCTTGCACTTTTGGTAATAATAGTAAAAGTAATGTTCGGTTAGAAGTCTTAAAGGGATACCTCTCTTCTCTTAGGTCTTTAAATAAGTTTTGATGTCCACTCATTTCTCCGTTGTTGAAAAGTATGTTATCCGACAAGGAAAAAGAAAAAGAAAAAGAAAAAGAAAAAATAACCTCTGGAGGATCCACTAGTTAAAAGAAGAAAGAACAACCCTCCCATCATCTTTTGGAACATTTTTTTTTAAAACTTTTTTGTTAAACATATATGCCTTTTATATATTTTCCCGTTCTATGTAATACATTTATTGAAGCCGTAATTTTCAAGCAAGTCCAGACAATAAGGGGATTATGCAGAAAAAATCTCTTATAACTGGATTCTTTCTGTAAATAAGGTCAAAACCTGAAACCCCAAGTCCTATTTTGTGATTTATCCAAATTCGATAGTTATCCAAAACCTTATTTCTGTAAATAAGGTCAAAACCTGAAATCCCAAGTCTGACCATCTAACAAATAGCTATCGGTTTAAATTTCAACTACACCTGATTTGTTGTATATTCGTGTGGCCAGGCGAATCCTGACCTGTTACAAGCAATTGAAGCGGCCGCTGTTGCCAACAAGACAAGCAGTTCAAAATCTTCGGCACTGAAAGCATATTCTGTCTCCGCAATTAACCAAATGGCGGACTTGATAAACTCGGAGGCAGCGAAGAAGGAAGTTGAGGGCAGTGTTTCAAATGGTGTCGAAAATGGTAAGTCAAAAACGGGCCCAGTCGGGCTGGGTTCCGGGCTTGCTTCTTTGGATTCCAAGAAGCAGAAGGCAAAAGGCAAAGGCAAATCTTCGTCTTCTTGATGGGTTTTCTTGAGGTTTTTTTCTGTGGTCACTGAGTGTGCACTTTTTTGCTGGGCCTTTTTGTGGTATATTATTCTTTCCAATAATTTGTGATTTTTTTTTTTTGGGGCGGTGGGGAGAAGTTTAACTGTGGTAAGCTTTGGTGTGTAATTTTTGTGCAGCTGCTTACAGATGTAAGGATCTGTGTGCTGCTGTGAGAATGGTCTCTTTTTGAAGACATGATAGATAATATTTCAATGATGCGTTTCCAGTTAACAGCCTGCTGCTTTTCGTCATTCTTTCATTCTTCTCATGGCTTCAATTCATGTGTGGAAATTTATACTTTGCGGAAATACCGTGCTAGTGATTGAGGACTTCTCTGGAACTAGTTGTACATCATTAAAATAGTGGAATGTGGAAACTTGATGAAGTTTGTTATAAATATATGAATATGGATATTACTTATCTATAATTGGGCCTGAAGTCCATTAGTTAGGGAAATTAGGTTTTAGGGCTTCTCACTTGTAAACTCTATAAAAGGGTGATATACGATGAATAAAAAGATAGACTTTTCTGCTCTTCTGTCTCTTGTTCTCTCGTTCGTTCTCTTTACTTTGTTTGGTGTGGATTGATGAATGCTTGGGGATCTCAATTTACAATACGTCATCAGCACGCTCTAGTTCGTTATTGGTGTTGCCCTAGGAAAAAATCGTGTTTTTCCTGCAAGAATTTGACAATGTCTGATATCACCAAAAGAGAATTTGCTGAGCTCGCCCTTGATGGTAGTAATTACTTAACTTGGGTCCTTGATGTCGACGTTCACCTGACTTCATTTGATTTGAGTGCTACAATTGATCCGACATCTCAAAATACTCCCGCCCAGAAGGCGAAGGCATTGATTTTCCTCCACCACCATCTTAATAAAGATCTGAAAAATGAATACGTTACAGAAAAAGAGCCCGCCAATCTTTGGAAATCCCTGAAGGATCGTTTTGACCAACAAATAGCAATAATCCTCCCTCAAGCACAATATGACTGGCTTAACCTTCGCTTTCAGGATTTCAAATCCGTCACTGAGTATAATTCAGCTCTAGACCGCACTGTTTCACAGCTCAAACTCTGTAAGCAGAACATTACCGAGACTGAGTTGCTTGAAAAGACTTTATCAACTTTTCATGCTAACAACCTTGTACTCCAGCAGCAGTACAGGGCTAAGAACTATGCAACGCATTCTGAGCTGACTTTGGCCTTGCTTGTAGCCGAATAACACAATCAGTTGTTGATGAAAAATCATAATGCTAGGCCAGTTGGGACTCAAGCAGTGCCTGACGCACATGCGACTACTCATGCGCATAATAATATGCGAGGAAGAGGTCGAGGATACCATACCCAGGCACCCCGTGGTGGACGTGGTCACGGTCGTGGTCGTGGCCGTGTTTGGACTCGTGATGGAAGGCGAGATCATGTTGATAACGTCCCGGGAGGTCGTAGCGAGAACTTAAACATTGATGCGGATTGTTCAAATCGACGCGATTCACATCCACAGCCTAAAGAGCAAAGGCAGGTTTGCTTTAGATGTGGGTGCGACAATCATTGGTCCCGCACATGTCGTACTCCTCGGCATCTAGTTGAGGCGTATCAAAGAATGCTCAAGGATAAGAAAAGAAAGGCTCCTCAAGGTGAATCACATCATGCTAGTTTGCCTGAAGTAAATTTAGCCATCAATGATGATGATGATGATTTATTGCAGCTCGAGCTCGAGGACTATGGTGATAATGTGTGATTAATATGCATTCTATCTTAGAACTGGATATTTTATTGATGGTCTGTTTTCATCCTATTAGACATTCCTGTTTTTTTATGTTCTATAAGACATTTGTGGTTTGTTTTTGCTTATTATACTATGTTTTGATTGAGACTTTATGATTATTTATGTTTGCTTGTATATTTGGTAAGATGCATATCATTGACTTATATTGTTGATAGCTACAATAAGAAATTTATATATAGTGCCCGAAGCACATAATTTTTTTTTTTGTAGTGCCTGAAGCATATAGTATTCACTTAGAAATGAATTATTATACTTCCATGCCCAACTTATATATTTGATAATTAGCATGAGCAATTGGTTCATATTGGACAATTATTTATGATAATTTCCCCCTAAAATGCGTGGAGAATCGAACATTTCCCATCTGCAATTTATTATTGTTATGCACCATTTTATATCACCACCAATTCGTACCTTTAAGGGCCTATATTACAAACTAGGTATGCTATGATTTTTATACTCCGTCGAATTTTTAGTACCTAGAGGCCATTATAGGGGATCAATTTATTATTTAGTACGTTTTTTGCATATACATGAAGTTGATTTCACGGCATTAGGGGGAGATATGAGCATAAGTTTATTAATGTCGTGAAATATTAATGTTTTCATTATTTCAAACCACGCAATAATATATAGTTATAATGGAGTGACCTATTTGTAAATATATAGATGTACCACAAAGTAAGCAAATTCCCTAGGGAATGATTGACTCCTTAATGCTTGAAGCATAAGGTGATATAATTAATATGATGTATGAAAGTCCGCGGAAAATGTATATTCAAGAATTAACACTCCTTTATAATAAACTCCTGAAGATTTGATCCAGTACATCTTGCATGTGCATCAAACCATTATAGTACTGGAAATGCGGAACGACCAAAATTAGATTTTACGGGAAATAATTATAAATATGACTATCAAATGGTTGTGAGAAAAATATAAATTGAATATCAGTTGTCGACAACATACTTGCCTATGTGATTTCTTAACTATCTCAAATAATGAGCTGGACCAAAAGAATAGAAGTGCTAGAAGCGCTTAAGTTGATTGAGATAGAAAGAAAAATCGAGGCAGAGTTTTCACTCGCTACACGATATATCCCAGGAGGATAGCATATCCCAGAAGGATAATGAATATTTATATGAAACATGTGATGTGGTGGTATGATGTAAATATAGCGAGATTATGCTCATGGGTTTATGCAGAGACCAAATATTTATAAGTTCTCTCATTAGCAATGATTCCGCAAGTTAATATTTATGGCAGCATCATTAACATAACTATCGAGTCATATGTGAAAAGTCCTGGATGGGCACGAGTACCCGAGATGAACGATAATTAAAAATAATAAATAGTTTAATTATTTGAAGTTATTGGTAAGATGTGGTACAACCAACTAAATTCTTCCTGAAGAAGTAAAGTATGGAATTCAAGGTAGAACCTTGTGTATAATGATAATATACAAAATGATCATCTCGGTCAAATAGATTATGTGGTGACCACTATGTAGAAGATTAAATACGTTAGCTCATGCTTATAGACGGAGTTAGAATGAAACTCTTGGTTAAATAACAAAGAGTATTATCTCGACTTGTAATCGAGCATCTCCTAGAAGGAGTATTTATACCCAACCAATCTACTTGAATCTCTTTTAGTGATGTAAAATTATAACACCAATGAGTGTCAAATATTTGGAATTTGACAAAGATCCAAAGAAACAAATGAGGATATTATAGGACCTGAAGTTCCAATGGACTTGAAGTCCACAAACGACCTGAAGTTTATTTACTAAGTGCAATTGTGCTTAACTTTTATCACGCAAACTGCATCAGGCCTGATACTGCATTTGTAATGAATTTGCTAGCAACGTTTACTATTTCTCTTCTTAAAGAGATCGTGATAAACTGAGAATATCCTATTATGCTTTCATGTATGTTGAGTTATCTTTGAACTTAATATATGATATTGGTGGATAAAGACATCAAATGTATAATTGATTTCCGAAGTACTGGGTCCTCGATTGGTTATATACCTCTCAAATGGTATTAACTCTTTACCATTGGTTATTGAAACTTCCCCATATTTATCTTGACGATAACTTAGTTTGTGTTACACAAATAAATTATGGAAATACATTTGATGATATTTTTGAATCCATATTAACTTTGGAAGAGCGACCAACACTACAACATAAATGACTTTAGGTAGCACCATTTATTGTAATACTTTACAAATTATTGGTTTATGTATCATATTATTGTAACACTTTATGTTGTAGTGCAATGACGATTTTATGTAGATACTCTTACCTTGAGGGGGAGCAACAAAAATTTATAAATGTAACTTGAAAGGCTCTTGCCTTCAGGGGGAGCGATAAATAAATCCTGAAGATTGAGCCCGGAAGACTAATTGTAATCCTGAAAATTAGGCCTTGTTGGCCGGTGCTGTACTCTTTTTTCCTTACTAAGTTTTTTTTCCCACTGGGTTTTACTTAGTAAGGTTTTTAACGAGGCAACAAGTGTAACACATAAATATGCATATGTCATGTACTCTTTTCCTCGACTATTTTTTTTCCACTGGGTTTTGTAGCAAGGTTTTTAACAAGACATGGACATGATGTAGTAATGTCCAAGGGGGAGTGTTATAAATATATGAATATGGACATTACTTATCTATAATTGGGCCTGAAGTCCATTAGTTAGGGAAATTAGGTTTTAGGGCTTCTCACTTGTAAACCCTATAAAAGGGTGATATACGATGAATAAAGGGATAAACTTTTCTGCTCTTCTGTCTCTTGTTCTCTCGCTCGTTCTCTTTACTTTGTTTGGTGTGGATTGATGAATGCTTGAGAATCCCAATTTACAACAAAGTTAAAGTTTTTTCTTACCACTATTGATACATTTTATATAGATTATTAATTTTATATGAACGTTGTTAAATAAATCAATTGACTTTATTTATTGGACTTGCGATCAATAGACGTTATAAGTGAAAAATATTCATATTTACAAACAATCTACGTACAATTAATAAAACTTCAACCATCATTTAATAAAAATAAGTCATTCATTGAATAAAAATAGTTAGATTTTCCCTTCAAAAAGCAATTATACCATTTTATTAATTATTTTTTCCTATAATTGTTTTTGGAACACTTATAATGTGGTAGGTCCCATTTAGTATGCTGTATTGGCTATACTATCAGTTTTTTATTTTGACAACTATATATTACTATTTTGTAGTTTGATTATACAACTAGTATTTGATCTTGTGTACATGCACAGAAATTTAAATTATTATAACTTATAAGTTACGTGGTATGTGTATAATTGTAAAACTATAAGTTAAATAGTAGTATCACATTTTAAAAACATTGTCGTTAGTAAAAATGAACATTATAAAAGTATTCAAATTCATCACTGTATTTATTATATAAAGTAAAATAGATAATTATTTTTCATTAAATTCAACTAATATAGTGTACAATCTTGCACGAAAATTTTGAATTTGAATGAGCTAGTGTAAAGATCTCTATTAAAGATGACTTTTCTTATATATATTTTGCGTTGTATCTATAGCATATCAATACTTAATACGTATTTTGCATGTGAATAGTCAACATACAAATTAAAAAAATATTTTTAACCATTCAAATTTAAGGGTTTAAACAATATTTTGTAACCATGCAACAATTACATTCTCTAAATATAAAGAAATAAAAAATGGTAATAATATGCAGCCGTTATAAATCTAAAATATAGTAAAAATTTTGTGGGTGGTTGTATGGAATAAATTAAAAGAAAAAAAAAATATTGTAACGATTTTTGGATGAAGGTCATAAAAAATTT